CTGCAGCACAGTTTTTGAAAAGGTAGAAACAAGGACAGTCAGTCCAGTCAGTCAGGCTTTCTATTCTGAATGTGTGAAATCCCAAGAAACCCATAGAGAACTATTTCCTCACTCTTTGAATTAATGATCATTGACATGTCTGTTGATTTTGGGATAGAAATTTTGTCTATCTCTTGTTAGATGTGTGCTTAAGCATTTGAGGTCTTTATTGCTGTTATGGTGCTCCACCCTCTCCACCCCCCCACCCCACCCCACCCCCCATCCCCAAGCCAGGTTCAATGGTGCAGGCCTTTAATTGCAGTACTCCGGAGGCAGAGGCAGGCCTTGGCTACATACTAAGTTCCAGGATAGCCAGAACTTTATGGTGAGACCCTGTCTCAAGTGTTTTTTCTCATGTTTATGGAAATGCAGTTTGAATTTTGTGCTTTGTATCTGTCTTACACCCTTGATAAGTTTTCTTTCTTTTTAAAAATGTGTGCCCATTCTGGGTCCCAGTTGTATATTTTGAATATATTTTTTTGTGTGTGTGTGTCAAATCTTCCAGCATTGTCTGACCTCCAAAGTATTCATTTAGCTGACAGATCTGGAATAGCCACTTTCTGAGTTTTGTGCATAGGCGGTTTAGTCCTCACAGGAGTTTAGGGGAATCTTGGAATATTTGCTGTAAAGCTTTTCTCTGTATGCAAGCCTTTGTAGCCTTCCTAACAGAGCAAGACTGTAATGTTCTTGAGTTCCTACTCTTTGAGTTGTGAGCCCAAGGAGTGCTGTAAGTGTCCCAGGATGGCCTGCTGCCCCGTGTCTCCAGAGAGTTGCTTCATAGGTTTGTTTTGTTTTACTTATGTTGTAGTTGTTCTCGTAACTAGAGGTAGAAGCTGTTTCATGATTTAAAAATGCAATCCCCTTATAATTAATACAGTTTTTAAAATTTATCAATTATATTTTTGCTAGGTAAATCTTTAAAATGAACGTGTCAAAGAAAACAGTATTTGAGTTGTGTGGACATTGGTGAAATTGCAGTAACACATTAAACACCAACATTTTAGTTTTACTTTTTAAAGTAATGGACTTAAAAAGGGTTAAGTCTCATTAGTAGATTTCCATTTTGAATCTGGTCCTTGTAAATGCATTCAGAATACACTGTACTAAAGTTGTATATGCAGATTTGGATTCTGCCAAGAAAATGGAAAGTCATAGGAATGGCCCTTTTTTTTTTCCTCTACAGTTCTGTCCATTTTCCTGGGGGTAGAGGGAAACAAACACTTTGACTAGTGATTGGTAAATTAAGATTATGTATCTTTGTCATTACCTGGCTATGTGACTTCTAGGTTTCATGGATGCTGACATCTAGATACACTAGGGAGAACTAAGTGTGGCAAGCACAGATGATACTGGGACTGTGTTACAGAAGAACTTATCTTACGGGTTTGATATGAAATGGACAACTGGGAGTTTTAATATGTTTTTGACCAAGAGAATAGATAGCATTTTCTTTTTAGGAATATTAGTTTGATGGTAGTAGAATGGAAGAACTTACTGGAAAAGCTGTGGTTTCCTCTTTAGCATATTTTAAAATAACATTTTCATATGAATATAGTTGTCTTTATATGTAATCATATATATTACATATATGTTATCTGTTCATAGTAGAATAAAGTTAAAGATTTTAAATTTATTTAACTCTTTTTTTTTTTTTTTTTTTTGAGATCAGAACCTGCCCCTGCTCTTTTAAGTGCTGGAATTACAGACATATACGCCGATGGTTAGCTTTTGTTTCATGCAATAAAATTTGGCACTCTAAGTATTTCTCAGAAAAGGAGCTGTTTCCTCTTTTTATAAGCTTAAGTAGTGTGTATGTAAACTTCCTCAGAAATGCAGTGTTACATTTTTTTATGTACCATAGTCCCCTTAATTATAGTCTTTCATTTGCAAAAGTAAGGATCTTTTACAGAAAATGACTAACATCAGCAGCTGTTTTTAAAAACAAGAAATAATCTTAGGTATTTTTAGACTAAAATTTCTTTCCCCTTCCGCAGCAGTTTGAGATAGATATTCATATGTTGTTTCCCAAATGAGGGACTGATGAGGAAACCTAGAGAGTAACTTCCCAGAGCCATACATGCATAGTAGACCTGAGATTCGAATCCGTTTCTACCCACATACCGACACTGCTTGAGTCGGAAACTTGAAGGCCCAAATGGCATCCCCTCCTGCAAAGCATGTTTAAAAGTACAAAACTTATTTTGTGATCAGTTCTGGATGAATTCCAAGTTTACAGAATGAGGATTTCTTTTGCTTTTTAAATTAATTATTTGAAATACCAACTTAAAAGCCTTGGTTACTTAGTCAAATGCCAAGTTTTTTGTATGGGAAAGATTCTGGTACTAGATTTAAAAAAAAAAAAGATACATTTTAAGAGATCCTTGAAAAAATTGGCACAATTTTAAATTGTTTTGTCTTTAGTTTTAACAGTGGCTTTCGAATCAGTGACTTCTAACTGTATTATGTAGAAGGCACCATTTTGTTAAAAAATTTTTTAATTGCTTCATCTAATTGAATACTTTGGTTCTGCCAAATCTATTTTTCCTTTCTTTTCTTTCTTTTTGTTTTTGTTGTTTTTTTCCATCCAGTATCACTGTGACGATCATCTCTGTTGGCTTGGCACAACCTATAGACACCTGAGAAGAGAGCCGTAATGCCAGGCTGTCTGTATTAAGCTGATCTTTGGCGTGTCTGTACAGGATTGCCTTAGCTAATTGATGTGGGAGGACCTAATCCAGTATAGGTTGCACCATTCATTCCCTTGGCAGGGGTTACTGAAGTCTCTAAGAGTAGAGAAATGGAGCTGAGCATAAGCAAGCATGCATACATTCATTTCTTTTTTGTTCTTGTCTGGGTATGATGTGACTAGCTGTTTGAAGTTCCTGCTGTGACTTTCCTACAGCTATGGACTGTAACCTGGAGTTGTATGATCAAATAAATCCCATCTCCCCCAAATTGCTTTTATCAGCGTATTTTATCATATCAAAAGAAATGAAACCAGGAGAGTCACATAGCACACTCTCTTTAAGATTTATTTATTTATTGTGTATACAGTGTTCTGCCTACATGTATACCTGCAGGCCAGAAGAGGGCACCAGACCTCAGTATAGATGGTTGTGAGCCACCATGTGGGCGCTGGGAATTGAACCCAGGACCTCTGGAAGAGCAGCCAGTGCTCTTAACCTCTGAGCCATTAAGCTTAAGCTCTGAACCTCTCCAGCCCACCAAGCAATCTTTAAAAATGTGTACATGTTGCACACTGTGGAAAATTTCCCAAGGCATTGTTGTCTTCCTGTTTTGGGTGAGTGGTCTTTCCTGCTTATTCATTGTTTTAGGTTATAAGAGGTTATAGGTTTTACTGTTTTTAGTTTGTTGTGACTATGCTTTTTGTTTGTGACAAGTGTCTAGCTATGCTGTTGAAGCTGGTCTTAAACTTGTGAACTCAATTGATTCTCCCTTCTGAAGTCTCCTGAATAGGTTGGGATTGGAGGTATAAACTGCCATGACTAGCTTATGGAGATCCTTTTAACATATTTCATTTTTTTCCCCTCACCATCTCTCTCATCTAAGAATAATTAAAGTATGACCTTGCGCCATGGGGGATTTAGTCATAGTTTATTTGATATTATGAAATTAGCCATCCCCTATTTATCAGGGGAACTTGGAAGACAAGTCCATATTCATGTTAGCCATATATACATCTCTCTGTTATCTGTTTCAGTCAACCTTTTCTAGCTTGTATTTCCTGATAGAAATGTCTTTCCAAATTTATTGGGTCTTCTTTCCTGTTGAACCTTGAATTATTCCACATAGTTCTGTGCTAGAGTCTTTTCCTAGTATGAGAGAAGATGTTTAGTTTTCTGAACCTTGTAGCCGCAGTAACAAAATGATACGCATACAAAGTTAACACATATAATGTATTGTGTGCTTGAGTTGAAGGGGCAAAATGTGCAATGGGGAACTAAAACAACAGCCATTTCTCACAGTGCGAGACATTGAGAAGGTTCAGTCCAGCTTGCCAGCAGGGTCGATTTTACTGTGAGGCAGCCTTGCTTGGTGCCTTCCTTGGTAGCTTACACCTTCCTGTGCCTGGTGTCTGTCTCCTCCTGTAAGGGCAATAGTCACAGTGGGGCAGAGCCTCACTTCCAGGACCTCATCCTAACTGTGGTCACCTCCCCAAAGCTCTATCTAAACATCTAGCGTAGGAGTTAAAGAGTCAGCATAGGAAATGTGGGCAGGGCACAAACATTGCTGTACTTCACACAGTAGGAAAGACTGGAGCTAAATTACACAAGTGCCTCATGCTAGCCATGAGTTCTTAAGTTCCTTTTGTTGTTATTGAATTTTCTTCTTAAATCTTAATTTAAAGGGGGGTTATTACCACCATTATGACAATAAGGTGGTAAGTAAAGTAAATTCTAGGATATAAAGTGCTTAAAACAAATGAGAAGGTAACTAGTGATAGTAAGAGGGGGGTTGATTTTATTTCCAAGTGGCATTTGGACAGTTCAGCACTGTACAATGATTGTACAAGCTTTTAAGAATGTAAGAGAAAACACATAATTCTCAAAGTGTTCTTTTAAGTGGAACATGTGCTGGGAACAAACAAGTAAATGGAAGTTATTGACTTTATCATGTTTAATCATTTTAAGCTTTTATTGGAGTAGGACAATCGACTTGCCTAACTGTGCAAATGTGAGTAAAAGCTTTAGGTGCAGTATATAAGCGATATTACCATGTGGTCAAACTTCAGTCTAAACAGGCTATATTGCCTCTCTAAAAAATGACTAAATTTAGTCCTGTGTGAGAGCTAGCTACTGTTTCCAGCTTCCTTTCGACCTTACTTGCCTTTTCTCTAAAATGTGCTTAATCCATTATGACTGCCCCTTGCTTGGTCTCTTGCTTTCCCTTCTCTAGCCTGCTTGTATTTCTGCTGAGGTCCTATTCTGTTTGTTTTTCAGATGAGACCCTTTTTGCTCTTCCTGCTGCATCTGGGCCTGTGACACCCTCCTCTGCAGGCAAGTTCTTTCTTCTAGTCTTGTCTCTGTATTCCACCTGTCACTCTAGTGTTAACCCAACAGAGTACTTTGGATTTACTGGAAATTAGCATTGGTCCAAGAACGTCGGTTTTTTTTTTTTTTTTTTTTTTTTTTTACTGAAAACAAAACTTAAATTTGCATTTTATATGCTACTGTCCAAGGGAGGCATGGGCAGGGTTTGATTCATGACTGGAATGATGTAAGAAATTCTCGGACCCTTGATTTACCTTTACATAATAACAATTCATTTTCTTCAAATAGTTTGCCTTTGTGTAGTATAGCCACAGGCCATTATGTAAAGGAATGCCTGTCTATGGCTTTTGATAATCCAGTACCCTCTCTAGTCTATACAGCTACATCAAACCTTATATTCTTTTTAAACTATTTGAAAGAAGCTTTTTCCAGTTAGTAACACCTGAGGTTTTTCTCAGATTTGATTTATGTCTCTGCGTAGTACATAGCTGCCTCTGAAACTGCATGTTACTTTTTTCTTTAGGTACTTTAAGTTAATAACTATATTTATAGGGTACATTATTCATTGCTGCATGGTAAGGTCTACTTGATTAGCATATCCATCATCTTAGATGTTTTTGATTTCTTGGTAGCGAGAGTATTTAGAGTCTTGGCTTTTATGTGGTAGACAACATATTATTACGTATGTTGTGCAATAGCCATGCACTTTTTAAAATTGACAATAGTTTCATATTTTCAGTAACGATCCAAGTCTGTGTATTTACCTGTTACTAACATTTCACTTTAATAGTAAGTCTCTACTAACACTTTTATGAATCTGTCATAAAGCTTGCATTATCTCTGAGAACGCTGGCATTCTCTAATTATCCTTTCTATCCATGGCCACAGAAAAAATTATGGATTTGAAGGAGCAGCCAGGTAACACTGTTTCGTCTGGTCAAGAGGATTTCCCATCTGTCCTGCTTGAAACTGCTGCCTCTCTTCCTTCTCTATCTCCTCTCTCAACTGTTTCTTTTAAAGAACATGAATACCTTGGTAATTTATCAGCAGTGTCATCTAAAGAAGGAACAATTGAAGAAACTTTAACTGAGGCTTGTAAAGAGTTGCCAGAGAGGGCAACAAATCCATTTGTAAATAGAGATTTAACAGAGTTTTCGGAATTAGAATATTCAGAAATGGGATCATCTTTCAATGGCTCTCCCAAAGGAGAGTCAGCCATACTAGTAGAAAATTCTAAAGAAGTAATTGTGAGGAGTAAAGACAAAGAGGATTTAGTTAGCAGTGCAGCCCTTCACAATCCACAAGAGTCACCTGTGACCCTTACTAAAGTGGTTAAAGAAGACAGAGTTATGTCTCCAGAAAAGACAAAGGACATTTTTAATGAGATGCAAGAGTCAGTGGTAGCACCTATGAGGGAAGAGTATGCAGACTTTAAGCCATTTGAACAAGCATGGGAAATGAAAGACACCTATGAGGGAGCTGGGAGTGTGGCTGCTAGAGGTAACACAGAAAGTAAAGTGGACAAGAACTGCTCTGAAGATAGCCTGGAGCAAAAAAGTTCTGGAAAAGATAGTGAAAGCAGTAATGATGATGCTTCTTTCCCTAGTACACCAGAACCTGTGAGGGAAGGCTCCAGAGCATACATCACATGTGCTTCTTTTACCTCAGCAACTGAAAGCACCGCAGCAAACATTTGCCCTTTGTTAGAAGATCATACTTCAGAAAATAAAACGGATGAAAAAAAAATAGAAGAAAGGAAGGCCCAAATTATAACAGAGAAGACTAGCCCCAAAACATCAAATCCTTTCCTCGTAGCAATACAGGATGCTGAGGCAGATTATGTCACAACAGATAACTTATCAAAGATGACAGAGGCAGTGGTGGCAAACATGCCTGAAGGTCTAACTCCAGATTTAGTACAGGAAGCGTGTGAAAGTGAACTGAGTGAATCTACAGGTACAAAGATTGCTTATGAAACAAAAATGGACTTGGTCCAGACATCAGAAGCTATACAAGAATCACTTTTCCCCACAGCACAGCTTTGCCCATCATTTGAAGAATCTGAAGCAACTCCTTCCCCAGTTTTGCCTGACATTGTTATGGAAGCACCATTAAGTTCTCTCCTTCCAAGCGCTGGTGTGCCTGTAGTGCAGCCCAGTGTATCCCCACGAGAAGCACCTCTTTCAGTTAGTTATGACAGTGTAAAGCCTGAGCCTGAAAATCCCCCACCATACGAAGAAGCACTAAAAGCTTCGGGAACAAAGGAAGACATTAAAGAGCCTGAAAGTATTAATGCAGCTGTTCAGGAAACAGAAGCTCCTTATATATCCATTGCATGTGATTTAATTAAAGAAACAAAGCTGTCCGCTGAACCAAGTTCAGATTTCTCGAATTATTCAGAAATAGCAAAATTTGAGAAGTCAGTGCCTGATCACTCTGAGCTAGTGGAGTCCTCACCCGATTCTGAACCAGTTGACTTATTTAGTGATGATTCAATTCCCGAAGTCCCACAAACACAAGAGGAGGCTGTGATGCTCATGAAGGAGAGTCTCAGTGAAGTATCTGAGACAGAAACACAGCAGAAACATGAGGAGAGATTTAGTGCTTCACCTCAGGAAGTAGGAAAGCCATATTTAGAGTCTTTTCAGCCCAATTTACGTATTACAGAAGATGCTACAACTAATGAAATTCCAACATTGACCAAAAAGGAGAAAATTTCTTTGCAGATGGAAGAGCTTAATACTGGGATGTATTCAAATGATGACTTGATTACTTCTAAGGAAGACAAGATAAAAGAAAGTGAAACATTTTCAGATTCGTCTCCAATTGAGATAATAGATGAATTTCCCACGTTTGTCAGTACTAAAGCTGATTCTTCTCCTAAATTAGCCAAGGAATATACTGACTTAGAAGTATCCAACAAAAGTGAAGTTGCTAGTATCCAGAGTGGGGCTGGTTCGTTGCCCTGTGACCTTTCCTTCAAGAGCATATGCCCTAGCGATGAAATGCTTGTCTCAGATGAATTCTCCAAAGATAGGTCCAGTCTATCTAAGGAGTCCTTATTGCCTCCAAATGTTTCTGCTTTGGGACCTCCAACAGAAACAGGTGGCGTAGTTAAACCCAAAGTCCTTATGAAAGAAGCAGAGAAAAACCTTCCTTCTGCTACAGAGAATGAGGACAGATCACTGTCGGCTGTATTTTCACCAGAGCTGAGTAAAGCTTCAGGTAATCAATCCATGCACTGTTTCACCATCATTGGCTTACTATGGAACATAAATAACATTTTATGACATACATTTACAGTGTCCAGTACATCTCATTGATTAGAATCTTTACTAATTCAGGTAAAAGTTTTTTAGTTCTGTGTGGCTGAACAGATGGCTCAGTAATTAAGAGCATTTGCTGTTCTTTTATCCTCCACAAGACCAAGTTCACTTCCCAACCACCATGTGGTCAAGCACAACTAGCTCTACCTCCAGTTCTGGGGAATCTGATGCCCTCTTTTGACATCTGGTGCTTCTATGGGCTCCAGACACATGTGATGCACAGATATACATGCAAGTTAACACAGATCCACACACACACACGTACACACTAAAAATTTAAAATAGAAAATGATTAAGAAAAGTTTTCCTTCTAGCCAGGTATGGTGGTACAATATCTATAATCCCAAGTTCACTTAGGAGCCTAAGGTGGGAGGATTATTGTGAATTTGTCTCAAAAAACAAGAATACAACAGTTTTGTGCAATTTCTATCTACCCTACTTCTACTTGACACTCATTCTTGCTGTTAGCTTTTTCATAGTTAACATTGCATCATGGAACCAAGGGAGAAAAATTATTAAAATTATCTTTCAAGATGCATTTTTTTCCCTTCTGTGTTTCCTGATAACATGACAGGCAAGGGATATTAAAGCAATATTTTCAGATGTGTTTATTTTTGTTCTAGAAATGATTTCATATCAAATTTGGAAATCATGACCATTTCTGTAGCTTGCTTTTATATTTAAATATAATGGATTATTTTTCTAGTGAGAGGTATGAGGCTGGATATACTAAGTGTAGATATTTTTCAGGAAAGTAATTATTAAAGCATGGTATCAATTTATGTAAAGCTCAGATTTTCTTACACTTTTGACCCAGTATTTACTATGCTTGTTTTGCACACATTTTTTTTTTTCTTAACTTGGCATAGCTGTATTTTCTATTTATATACGTAGCAATTATGTTGTATTTACTGAATATTTACATATTGGAGATAGCTAGCACTGGCTAGCATCAGTCTAGTGTAGAAATTAATTTTGTTACAAGAAGAGATTCTGAATATTTAGATAATGAATTGAGCAGGGAGATTTCTTGTTTGATAGACATGAATGTGAAGGATATGGAGAGAAGTCAAAGACAAGGCCAAGATTCTGGGTTCCTGCCATGTGAGTACTGAGTCAGCAGCATGAGAAGCAAAGGTGGGGAAAATGAAAAATTGGGTTTGTGAGAAGATACATTCAGTTTAGTATTGCAGCAAAGAAATTATTGATACCATTTTCAAGAAACATTGAAACAGCTTGCCTGGCTATTATATGTGTATATTTGCCATGAACTTGGAGCTAAAAATTACAGCTACAGATAGGAAACAAGGAAAAATTAAAAGGCAATGATAATTAACACATAAGAGTTAAGGATTGAAAAAGGAGGGAAGGTGATGTAAGTAGGTGGGACCAGGACGCATATAGACTAAACTCTGATAGCAGTTCAGGAACAAGAAGAAGAAAATGTTAGCCAGCAGGGAATGGAATATGAGTTGAGGCAGTTGATCCTTCCCCAATTTTTAGCAGGGTTGGAAAAGTTGATCACAGATGCTGATAGAATGCCCATGGATGCTGTGATAAGCTCCACAGTTCAGAAGGAATTGGCTCTGTAGAGGAGAAGGGTATACTGTGGGTAGTGAGTAGAAAGAAACCTGTGGGTGGGGCTTGGTATTGGTAGGGTTTGTATCTGAAACTGAGGGGCTTGGCAAATGTTAATGTTAAAGCAGTATGTGAGGTATTTGCTGAGGATGAGTTGAAGCATACTTGGCAAAATAAGTATGAAATAGTTCCAAAGAGAGGAAGCAAGGGTAGTTTTGTTTTTGATAAGTGGGCCAGTGGAAGGACAGTGAGCCAAGAGAGTTGAGAATAATAGGAATGAAGAATGAAGTAGTATGAAGTCATTGAAATGATGGGCTGACATCCAGGTTGAATTGAGTAGGAAGTTGATAGAGACTGGTAGATCAAGTGAATTCTAGGTCCAAATTAGGTATAAGAACCAAAAGTGATAGAAATAAAAATATGGCTCTTAGAATGTTGTGGGAAAAATAGTGAGATGTATGTATTGGGTATTGAGTTTTAGTACAAAAACAGTTCAGGCTGAAAAGTGACCAAAGTTTGACCATGAAGAATGGTAATGGGGCTAGACAGGCTGGCAAGCGTCTAGCAATAATTGTTCAGCAAGAGACCCTGTCTCAGTAAACAACCTATGTGATATAACTAAGCCAACGAGCACACCTCCCCCACAACAAACAAAAGGAAAGGAGTCTGGGGTAAACTGAGGAATCTGTAGCCCCTGACTTGAAATGAAAAAAGAGCAGCAGTGTCTGTGAAAGCCAAGTAAAAATGAAGAGTGGGTTGGGCGCTGACGTTGAGGAAAACAGTGTTTTTATCAAGGGAATCCTTCATGATTTGTTAGCTCAGCTTTCCTCCTGAGTGTATGTGGAGAGAGGCGGAGAGTGCCGTATGCCCCTGAGGTTGCTGTTGGGAATCATCTACCATCACTTTCTACGCTACACTGAGGCGGGGCTCACCCATGGCTACCAAGTCTGCTCTGGGGCTCTGTCTCTGCTTCCCACACCTGGGATTGCAGGTGGATCACTATACCACCTGGCTTTCTATAGGTTCTAAGATCCAAACTCGTCCTTGCGCTTGTGTGGCAGGTACTTTAAATCTTCTGAACCATCTTTCCAGCCCTGGTTTTTAAAACTCTAAATTAAATTAGATGATAACAAAATTGCTTTGAACTGACAAAATTTATATATATATATCTAGGGTACAATGTTATAATTTGATAAATATGTAGTGATTCCTAACATTACATTTTGTTCAGGTTTTTTGTTTGTTTGGTTGGTTTTTGTTTTTGTTTTTTGTTTTTTGTTTTTTTTTTTGAGACAGGGGCTCTCTGAAGCTCTGGCTGCCCCAGAAATCGCTCTGTATACCAGACTGGCCTTGAATTTACAGAGCTCCATCTGCCCTCTGAGTACTGGGATTATAGGCATGTGCCACTATTGCTTGGCTTTTTCAGTAATTTTTAAACTTACATTAGCTACCATGTCTACTCACTGGAGAATAGAACATAATTTGCATGTAACAAATGTGTAAGCCTTTAATCCCAGCAACTCATGAAGCACAGGCAGGCAGATCTCTGAGTTTGGGGCTAGCCTGCTCTACAGAATCAGTTCCAGGACAGCCGGGGGATACACAGAAAAACCCTGTCTCAAAAAACAAAACAAAAGTAAAACTAACAACAACAACAACAACAAAAAAAAAACACAACAAAACCCAAGCAAAGAAAGAAAACAAGACAAAAAAAACAAAAAAAACAAATGTGTATTTTCCAAAAAAGTCACATGAAGTAAACACAGTGTTCCTGTAAATACTTTGGATGACATCAATTCTAGTTGTTCTCACAAGTTGGCTTTCTTTTCTATAAAAAGAATGGGGTTAGATTAGATTTTTTTTCTGTTTGATAATTTCCTTAGTTATATTGCAAGCATTTATTAAAAGCGGGGACTTACATTTGCTTAGGCTTGGTTCTTTGAAGGACTATATTTTCTTAGAGGGGGGGGGACACAAAAACAAATTGTTCTCACGTAACTTAACTGGCACACAAACACAAACACGTGTGTTCTCTTAGGGTGGTTTACAGGCTGTGGTCCAAGTAGTTTATTTAACATTGGCTATCTCTTGACACTAAGTCCAAGGATCTGGTAGTTGTTCAGTCTACAAGACTGAAAAAAAAAATCTCACCCAATGTTGTGTTAGAGTCTCATTTAATTCCTTGAGAGCTGCTGGTCTTCAGTCTGTTTTGGAACCTCACAGAAGTAGATTCTAACACCAGTGAAAGTCTGCCTTAGTAATAGGACAGATGAACTTGCCAGGGAGAGTGAGGAAAAGTAGGCCAAAAGCAAAAGCTTCCTTCTTTCATACCCCTTTATGTCTTCCCTCAAATGGTCAAATCAAGAAAATCCCCCACAGCTGTATTGATTCCAGATGTATTATCAGGTTGGATAATAATATTAGTTGCACAGGTCACCCTTGTCAACTTGACACAAAATCACATGCTTAATTTCTAAATTAAAACAATAACCAGTATTTTACTTTCTAAATAAAAAAAAAAAAAATAATCCAGCTACTCTGCATACAGCTGCAGTGTTTTTCAGATCCTGTGTTGATGGATATTACAGTCAGAATATAAACCTTGAGATGGGTATGGTAGTAGTTTATCCTGAAATCCGAACCCCAAGAGATGGAGGCAGGAGGATCACAATTTTAAGGTCATTTTAGCTAGCATTCCAGTTTGAGGTCAGTCTATTTTTTTTTAAGTGGGGTCTTTTCCCTGAACCCAGAGTTCCGCTCTTGTCTAGGCTGGTAGCCAGGAAGCCTCATGTCTCTGCCCTTCACAGTACTAAGGTTAAAAGGCCCCCACAAGACCATAGTCAGCTTTTTAGGTGGGTGCTGGGATTTGAACTAAAGTCCTTAGAGTTGCAAGTGCTTTTGACTATTTAGCCATCTCTCCAGCCACATAATGGTCACTCTTGGCTACATAAACCAACCTGATTACAGTGACATAAAGAAGGCATTCTAAGAGTTATCTCAGGGCTGGAGAGATGAGTACTTATGCTTGAAGACTGGGATTTGTTTCCCAGCATCACATGATAGCCTGCCTCAACCATCTTCAACCCCAGTTCCAGAGGATTTGACACCCTCCCTGACCTAGGGAACCAGGCACACATGAGGACACACATACAAGCAAAACACTTAAAAAGAGTACCCCCAGACTTCTCATTCTGTTTTCACTTTCCAAATAACTGGGGCTGCAAGCACTTACGTGGGTTTAAACCAAGGCTTCATGCATGCTAAGCAAGCGCTGGCAACTGACCTAGTATTGCATGTGCTAGTATGTTAAATAAGCACTTA